CAGCTAAAGAACAATGTTACAAAACAAAAACAAAAAAAAAACTGCAGCTGCAGGGGGTGAAAGTCAAATCTGGTTCTGCCTTTTGCACATGGGGGACCAGATTTATCAAAGATTAGATCCAGGGGTTTATAGTGTGGTTCACATTAACGTTGTTCGGCTAATTTTCGTGGGCTAAATCCAGTCATTTCAACAGAAATCTATGCAATTGGGAATTTTCAGCAAAAGTTTTCAAATGTCGATTTTGCAGTAGGTTCAATTTCGTCACACAGATTCGCCACACTGACCAACAGAAAACTGGTTTGAAAGTGACTTCTGTGCTTCATACGTCGCTCCACCATTGACAATATACAATGAACCTTTTTTACCCACGAAATTTTGCTAATGTCACCACACCCTAAGTCTCTGCTTGTGTCAATCATTCTCTCTTCTCGCTTACTTGGACCACAATGAACAATGCACAACAAAAAGAGGAAGAATTTTAGTAAAAGCGACTTGATTGATTTGACCAACAAGATGGTTTTGAACTCAAAACTCTGTAATGACCTGGATGAATGCAAAAATACATAGCAAAAACAAAAAAATTGTGGACATGGCACACAGATAACGTTGTTTTTGCTTTCTATTACCAACCTGTGGAAGTGGAATAGAAAGCTACACAGATAACAACACAGATAGAAGAGTGTGTTTTGGATTTCTGGATTTTGGTTATAACCGTTTCTCTGGGAATCTGGGAACATTTTGCCCAGATCTGGCAGTCAAGAGGCAAGAGATGGGCATAAAATTACTCACGATATGGTGAAAAAAAATTACATTCCTGAACTATATTTAGACATCTTTCTTCATCTCAGAATATTTGGTAATTTGAATCTAATCATTCACAAAATATACTGCATTCATTTCAAAGTCTTCACATGCATAACATGCCGAGAAAAGGCAAGAGCCCTCAAAAAAGCAGACGTGTTTGCGTCATCGCAAATAACATTTTCACCAAAATAAAAACTACTGCTTAAAATCAAAAGATCAATTTTGTTCAGATCAGTGCAAACTTCAACATGAGCAATAACAATGATACATATGCCCCAAGTCCACAAATCACACCTTTTAAAAACATTTTAAAATCCCAAAGTGTTATTTTTTTTTTTTCTCGTAAAAACCCCTCACAAGGATCAGAGCTGCAGAGAGAGGGCCCATGCTGAACAACAGTGAGAAATACCTTCACAACAAATGTTCACGAAAGAAGATGTCCACAACAAAAGTTCAAAGGGAGAGAACATGAACAGATTAACAAGTACAAATACAACTGACATATTAGAAGCCGCATTACAAGTCTGTATAAAATCTGAAATAAGCACAAAGATATAGTAAATATACAAGTAAAACAGTTCCTTTTTATGGTCTAGATTGTTCCTGCCGTCTGAGACAGTCCTGTGCTAAAGTTCTGCATAGCCAAAGCTTCTATTCGCTAACTATGGACTGGATCAATATCAGCGAAATACAAATGTTTTTTTTTCTTTTAGATTTATACCAAAATCATAAAAATTTCAGCGCCTACTCACAATTTGTAGTATCTTTGTAAACAGTTTGCCCTTTTTCTGTTTCAAAAATACATTCTAGTGAGAAAATTGTGAGGCATATATATATATATATATATATATATATATATATATATATATATATATATATATATATATATATATATATATATATATATATATATATATATATATATATATATATATATATATATATATATATATATATATATATATATATATATATATATATATATATATATATATATATATATATATATATATATATATATATATATATATATATATATATATATATATATATATATATATATATATATATATATATATATATATATATATATATATATATATATATATATATATATATATATATATATATATATATATATATATATATATATATATATATATATATATATATATATATATATATATATATATATATATATATATATATATATATATATATATATATATATATATATATATATATATATATATATATATATATATATATATATATATATATATATATATATATATATATATATATATATATATATATATATATATATATATATATATATATATATATATATATATATATATATATATATATATATATATATATATATATATATATATATATATATATATATATATATATATATATATATATATATATATATATATATATATATATATATATATATATATATATATATATATATATATATATATATATATATATATATATATATATATATATATATATATATATATATATATATATATATATATATATATATATATATATATATATATATATATATATATATATATATATATATATATATATATATATATATATATATATATATATATATATATATATATATATATATATATATATATATATATATATATATATATATATATATATATATATATATATATATATATATATATATATATATATATATATATATATATATATATATATATATATATATATATATATATATATATATATATATATATATATATATATATATATATATATATATATATATATATATATATATATATATATATATATATATATATATATATATATATATATATATATATATATATATATATATATATATATATATATATATATATATATATATATATATATATATATATATATATATATATATATATATATATATATATATATATATATATATATATATATATATATATATATATATATATATATATATATATATATATATATATATATATATATATATATATATATATATATATATATATATATATATATATATATATATATATATATATATATATATATATATATATATATATATATATATATATATATATATATATATATATATATATATATATATATATATATATATATATATATATATATATATATATATATATATATATATATATATATATATATATATATATATATATATATATATATATATATATATATATATATATATATATATATATATATATATATATATATATATATATATATATATATATATATATATATATATATATATATATATATATATATATATATATATATATATATATATATATATATATATATATATATATATATATATATATATATATATATATATATATATATATATATATATATATATATATATATATATATATATATATATATATATATATATATATATATATATATATATATATATATATATATATATATATATATATATATATATATATATATATATATATATATATATATATATATATATATATATATATATATATATATATATATATATATATATATATATATATATATATATATATATATATATATATATATATATATATATATATATATATATATATATATATATATATATATATATATATATATATATATATATATATATATATATATATATATATATATATATATATATATATATATATATATATATATATATATATATATATATATATATATATATATATATATATATATATATATATATATATATATATATATATATATATATATATATATATATATATATATATATATATATATATATATATATATATATATATATATATATATATATATATATATATATATATATATATATATATATATATATATATATATATATATATATATATATATATATATATATATATATATATATATATATATATATATATATATATATATATATATATATATATATATATATATATATATATATATATATATATATATATATATATATATATATATATATATATATATATATATATATATATATATATATATATATATATATATATATATATATATATATATATATATATATATATATATATATATATATATATATATATATATATATATATATATATATATATATATATATATATATATATATATATATATATATATATATATATATATATATATATATATATATATATATATATATATATATATATATATATATATATATATATATATATATATATATATATATATATATATATATATATATATATATATATATATATATATATATATATATATATATATATATATATATATATATATATATATATATATATATATATATATATATATATATATATATATATATATATATATATATATATATATATATATATATATATATATATATATATATATATATATATATATATATATATATATATATATATATATATATATATATATATATATATATATATATATATATATATATATATATATATATATATATATATATATATATATATATATATATATATATATATATATATATATATATATATATATATATATATATATATATATATATATATATATATATATATATATATATATATATATATATATATATATATATATATATATATATATATATATATATATATATATATATATATATATATATATATATATATATATATATATATATATATATATATATATATATATATATATATATATATATATATATATATATATATATATATATATATATATATATATATATATATATATATATATATATATATATATATATATATATATATATATATATATATATATATATATATATATATATATATATATATATATATATATATATATATATATATATATATATATATATATATATATATATATATATATATATATATATATATATATATATATATATATATATATATATATATATATATATATATATATATATATATATATATATATATATATATATATATATATATATATATATATATATATATATATATATATATATATATATATATATATATATATATATATATATATATATATATATATATATATGTGGCAAAGCTCTCTTTTATCGTTTTTTTCTTTTTATACAAAAAATATGCAAAATAATGCTCTATACACATCATCTACACTTCCCCTCTCTTTATAGTACGTCACTGTGCAGGAAGAGAGGTATAATTAATTGAATTCTCATCTCCTGTCATTTGAATAAGGGGCACTGGCCACATTCTAAAGGACGGACTGAGTTTTCACAGCCTGGAGCGTGTATGAGTGGCTTTGGCTCATCTACGGGCCAGCAAAGTGATCGCTGAAACGCTGATTGAAAACCTGTCGCACAGCATTATCATGCGGTTAGCTTAGTTCTAAACTTCAGGCAGTGACACCAGAGACTGTTGGTTAGTTTAAATGTGTCTGCTACTCAGTAGCCCGAGCCAGACGGTTCATTACACCGAACATGTTCTGGTCTTGGTACTGAAACAGAGTTCGGGTGGTGTGGCGAGGGGGGAAGGCTAAACCCATCCTGCTGGTGTCTCATATCACAGCATTTGGTGCATCAATATGGGCTGTTATTAGGCCGGCTGTCGGCTACTTCTGTTCCATAACACGTCATATTGTCATCTTTACACCGTCTCCACATTCAGGAAGGTCCCATCCATTTGCTGCTACCGAAATGTTATTGAAAGCTGGTGTGACCTACTGATAACATCCAAAAGCAATGTGTAAAACAAGCACATTCATTTTGTTTTGGTTGCATGGCTTTGAATTAGACCAGCAATGCAATAGCCGATCCAGCTATAGGTTTGGCATTGCTATGGCTTCGGTGTCATGATTGTCACTCGGCACAAGGAGTAGATACACGGCAGGTTCATGTGTTCATGCATATTTGTTTGTTTCATTGTCTTTACAGGTCAAAGCACGTGCGAAGCATCCAGATTGGTTTCACACATCTGTTGAGTGATGATCGGTGTCTTGGGAGGCAGATGGAGCATGCTGAGCAATGGCGGCCACTGAGAGACGGCGTCTGGGTGACTCATGCGAGCATGATGATTCACTTTATATCAACATGTAGTGTTTATGCATGTGCTTTGTGTTTAAGAAAATGTAAAGATCTTTTTATGTTTATAGAAATCTGAGTGCTATAGGTTCTGTGCTTTAGTCGTCACGTTCGTGGACTTGTTTGTATGAATGTATACATGCATGATGTGGCTCTTCAAAGTCTGTCGCTGCGAAAGCTGTCCTCTACTGAGGGGTCAGGGAGGACCATATCGGGGTCACTGAGCATGCTCAGTCCATCCAAACTGAGCGGCTCAATACGTAGTTCATCCTCCAGTGGAAAAATTCCCTCTGAGTCAAAACACTCTGGCACTGCAGACAACACACTGCTGATGTCCTTAGAGAGGCTGGGATTGGAGTCGTCTGAGAGAGGACGAAAAACAGCAGAACCGTGAGTGAGTACAGGAGATGTGAAAGAAGATGTTTCATATTTCATATTTTTTGTTTTCAGTGGGTTGCCTGAATGCCTAGTCAACTAATCGGCCTTAAGGAATCCACCTATATAATCGACCTGGTTTTTGGTTGACGTGGCCCCGATTGGATGCGTTTCTTCTGGGGCATTTACATAAAATGCATTATGTTCAGCAAGATGAAAACAATGGAATGGAACAAAATATAGCCATCTCAAGATACCATTTTTGCTATCTTTAAATTCACATACTATCTTAAGACTGCAACACTTGTGTTGGGAAGCTCAAAACATATTAAATGAGATGCCAAAATGTTCTTGCTCATATATGCACTACTGTTCCAAAGTTTGGGATCAGCCAGAATTATTATTTTTTCTTTGGAAGAAGTAATACTTTTATTCAACAAGGATAAATGAAATTTGTTTTTAACTTTGTTTTGAACACTGGAGTAAATTCTGCTACTGAAAATTCAGCTTTGCCATCACAGGAATTAATAACATTTTTAAACATATAAAAATTTGATATTTCCATTGTAATAATATATTTAAAAAAATTCTCGTTTTACTGTATTCTTAAATCAAATAAATGGTCAGCATAAGAGACTCTTTCAAAAACATTATAAAAAAATCCTTCAGACCCCAAACCTCAAAAAAAAAAAAAAAATGATATAAACAACACTGTTAAAAATGATGCAATTGACATATCAGTGGGATTTCAGTATAATAAACATTCAGATTTTATTTTTTCATAGAAAGTGTCTTTTTTTTTTATAGATAGCTGGTATAAATCTCAGACAGATTTTGTAACGAGTTTGCCAGGTCTTCTTAGGTAAATGGAGAACCTCCTTAAAGAGGATGTTCTGCATTATTAAGCAAGTCACAGTTCTCATGCAAAAGCATGAGCTTTGTTTGCTTTTGTTAGGGGAATACTGAAATGCAGCTTTATGCACAACTGCCAGCCTGCATGGAGAGGTTCTTGATACTCCAGAGACACCAGAAGCTTCAAATACCTGCTTGCTGCTCAACAAGCTTTTTACAGCTGCCCTTTTAATACAATTAATTAGTTTGACAGAAACCTTCCCTAAAAGCCTTTATCTGATCGAGTTATTTTGTTCTGATTCACTCAGAAATATTTTGACAGTTCGATAATCTCTATTCAGTTTTCACAAAATATTAGTTGTTTCACGATTTCCATCTTCAGAAAGATCTTTCTTCCTCACCAGATTGCATGAGAAACGTGACTTGCTTAATAATTTGGAACAACCTCTTTAAGTAGGTTCACCATTTACCTAAGAAGACCAGGCAAACTATTTACCAAACCTGCATGAGACTGATACCAGTTATCTAAAAAAAATATGAGAAATAAACAAACACTTTCTATTAAAACAAAAAATCTGAATGTTTATTTTACTGAAATTCTACTTATATGTCACTTGCATAATAATATGGAAGACACTGTAGTCAGCTGTTGGACGACTAGATGAAAGTCCCACTAGCATATCTATTGAATGTGACATTTCCTATTTTTTTGCCATTTACATTTTATTGGCAGTTACATAAAACAAGAGTCCATGAATGAAACTCATTTTAAAGGGGTCATATGATGCGATTTAAATTTTTCCTTTCTCTTTGGAGTGTTACAAGCTCTTGGTGCATAAAGAAGATCTGTAAAGTTGCAAAGACTAAAGTCTCAAATCCAAAGAGATATTCTTTATAAAAGAGTCAGCCACGCCTACCTAAAACGGCTCATTCTAACACGCCCCCACATGTCTATGTCACTATGTGGGAAGATTTGCATAATGCCACCCAAATGTTCACGCAAAGAAAGAAGGCGTAACTTTTATTCTCATTGTAGTATTGTTGCCGCCGCCGCCATGTTGTGAAGGCACTGTGTGATTCGTTGTGAAAGCGAAAATACTTTGGCCTTCCAAAAGAGGACGATATATGCTTCGTCATGCCTAGAGCTGATCCGTGCTGGTCGCTGAGGAAATACTACAACTTTGCACTGTGGATCGCAGGATCGGCTTTCACCGTGGACGAAGCGGAGTCCAGTCCGAGGTCGTCACATGTGGTTGCCGCAAGCCCGCCGGACACTCCTTCGTTGAATCCGCCGCCTCTGCTCACTCTAGCCCTCCGGCCGTTCCTCACTCTAGCCCCCAGCCTCTGCTCACTCTAGGCCGCCGCCGCTCACTCTAGGCCACCGTGTGTGACGCTGTGTTTCGTTGTGAAAGCGAAACTACTTTGTTTGGCCTT